TGACTCTAAACCTCTTCTGTTCCCTGACTTGTCATTTCTGTCTTTCCTTTTCTTCTACATCTTTAGTCTTCTTACAAATATAGCCAGTTTTTCTTCATGGTCTTGTTGGTTGCTTGTTGACTCATGTTGGTGTGTGATGAAAATGAAATCATAGACTTTGAGCTGGAAGGGCCTTGAGTGGGCACCCAATCCAATCCCCTCATCGGATGGCAAAGAATACCGAGGCCCTGAGAGCTCTGTGTAGTGACTTTTCAGGGTGATGTGGTTAGTAAGCGGTGAAGCCAGGCTTGGAACCCAAATGACTAGCCGCAAATGTAGCCCTCTTTCTTCTGCAGCATGCAAGGCATTTAACCCCTTAGTGTTTTAGACAGCTCTCCAAGGCAGGTTCTTAACCTGGGGTCTATGGCTTGGAACCCAAATGACTAGCCGCAAATGTAGCCCTCTTTCTTCTGCAGCATGCAAGACATTTAACCCCTTAGTGTTTCAGACAGCTCTCCAAGGCAGGTTCTTAACCTGGGGTCTATGACTAGTTTTCAGGAAGTCTCTAGATGTGAATGGGGGGAAGGGATCACATTTATTTTCACTAACTATTGCTTTCTTTTATAATCCTTTGCATTTTATTTTATAAATTTAAAACCATTATTCTGAGGAGTCCATAGGCTTCTTCAGACTGTCTGAGGTGTCCATGACATAAAATATGGTTTAAGAACCCTTCCCCTGCCCTGAGTTACAGAGAAACAGCCAACCTGCATTGTCAGAAGCAGTTTTCTCATCCTGGAGTAGATGAAATCACGGGTCCAGGCCCCCTCTGTAGTATCAATAATTGGACAAAGCTTCTAGCCTTGACTATTTCTGCTCACTGCTAGGTGGCAGGGATGATACGGTGTGACCTCAGCAGCTTTCCCTGGGAAAGTTTATTAAAATGTGAGAAAGATGTTCTCCAGCTGTGGGACAGTGAAGACTGTCTGGTACATGTACAGGAGGCAGGACTAAGCTGTTGTGGGGCAGAAGTCAAAGCTTCCTGTCATTTGGGGTAGCTTAGTGCTGAGTTTCACACACACACACACACACACACACACACACACACACGTAGCCTTTGACAGGGACATTAAAAGCCCTTTTATGGAATGGCCTTTTCGGCCTTGCTCTTAATATGATGTTTAAATAAGGGAATTACTGGCTCGCTGTTTTCCCGACCAAACCAGATGGCAGACACTACCATATTCACCGGAGACTTCTGAGAGGAGTGCCAAACTAACCAGCATTTGCCTGCCTCAAAGAAAGAGGAAAAACTCACTCGGAAGGTTGTCTTCCACAAAAGCAAAAGTCCTGATGATAGACTGGCACCTGAGCTGGAGGCCTGAACGCAACTTTTATTGACTCATTATTCTCTGGGCAGCCAACAGCCTAGCATTCCCTGAGCACTCCCCCCACCCCCCATCACAAATCTCGGATTTTTTTCAGCTGCTTTACATTGAAGACTGAAACCACGTGTCCCCTAGTGCAGTGCAGTTCTAGCTCAGAGAGGCTTCATCACAGACTTGACATGAAAAGACAAACAAAAATCTGCCTTGCCATGTTATCCATCCAATAGAAAACCACCCAAGGGTAGAGAAATAGATATTCATCACCATCTCAGCAACTCAGCCAAGCCCATGAGTTCAAGCATGCAGTATTTCAAGGAGGATTTAGAAAACCTTTCCTTGGCAAAGACAAGAGTTCTCCTGACAGCCCATTTCACTAGCGGGCCAGCCTGTGGAGGGGAGAACAAAGGGAATTCTCTCTGTCTGATTTGGTTTGGATGAGGCAGCCGCTCCTGCTTTGGGCTTCCCCAGTGGGTTTTGCACCAGCGTCAGACTTGGAATACTTTTTTTTTTCCCCCGGAACAGTTGAAGTAAAACTCCATCTTCAAATTGCTTACACTCGCCTTTATCCACAGCAAAGTTCTGGCTGTTAAGATGGCCTTTTGCCCTGGTTTAGCATGAGCAGAATAATAGCCTTGGCTAAGAAAAAGATCAGAAGGATGATTGTGGGATTATTCAGTAGGTTTGTCACCAGAGAATTTAGCTCTGTTGCAAAGGGCATCTGGATTTTTTTTTATTATGGCGCGTCTGCCTCAGTGAATGTGTGCCCATGTATATATTATAACATCTGCAGTCCCAAACTGAAGAACTGGTCTTAGAGTTCTGTGCCATAACCACCCCCCTTGTTTCCGGGCTCTCCTGTGTTCCAAAAAAGTCTTCTTCAGAACACAAGGGAACTGTGTCTAAGTAGACCTACCGAACATGCCTTCCCTCCCCATCCCTCGCACTCATCACCGTGCTTTCAAGGCACATGAAAATGATTAATAAATGATTTTTATTTACTCATGCTTAGAGACCCTAGATTTTTTCAAGAAGCCTTTCCTGATCTGATCCCTGTATTGTTGGGGCTCAGTCTCTCCTGCCATTATCATGTATTTAGTCAGTCAGTAAACACCTGTTAAGCACCTGTTGTGTGTCAAGCATTGTCCTCAGAGCTGGGGATCCAGAGGAAGGCAAAAGACAGCCCCTGCTTTCAACTGAGGCTGAGAGAGGGTAAGTAACTTGTCCAGGGTCACACAGCTAATAAGAGTGTGAAGCCACATTTGAACTCAGACCTTCCTGACTCCATGTTAGGTTTATCCACTGTGCTACCTATGCCTTGCAAATTATAGACTATTTTCTCTCCCAAAAAAGTATGCTCCTTGAGGACAGGTATGGTTTTTGTGGACAGGTTGAGGGGGTTTTTGGTTTTTGTAGCCCCACTGTGTTGGACATGGTAGATACTTAATGAATGCTTACTGGGTTGGATTATGAATCTATAAAGAAATTTTCAGGGGATTTGTGACTTGATTTGAGTTGTTAGCATGTAGAGGAAAATTTACTGCATCTGATCAAATTCTGATCTTTCAGTTCTTCTAAACTGGAAAATTTAAGCCTTCTTTTCTATGAAGAGGCCATATTTCTGTATTTTTCTTCTCCCATTAAAAAAGGTTTTTTTTTGGGAAACATCAACCATTTCAGAGCCAGAATAGATAGGAATGACACACCCTTAATCAATAACTTATTTTGAAAGTGTAAGGAGCTAGGGGAATCACTCCATTTTAAAGGTGCATTCCTAATGCCGCAGTGCTGGTCCAGCAGAAATTCTCACCCACCTTTGCTTCTCCTAAGTCAGTCATCAGCACCCTCTCACCCTGCAAATTAGGGCAGGTAGTTTCTTTTTTTGTCTTTGTGTCTCTGGTGCCTTGCACGTAACAGGCACCTAAAAGTGAATTAAATTGAATGATGGGAGAACTTAATAAACACTTGTTGAATTAGGTGATCTTGGAGGACAGGGAAGGCTTTGTCAGGTGTCTCTTCTCTGGGCAGTAAGAGAGCTGCCCAGTATATAAGAGCTGAGCACAGGAAGGGCAGACCTAGGTAACAGAGGCCTAGGAAGTTGAGTGGCTCCCGCTCAAGTGGTAACTGAAGCACACCATATGTTACATTATTATGGTGCTTTCAAATGAATAAAGATCCCTACTTTTGTAGGATCATAAGCTGAGAGCTAGAAGGGACCGTAGAAGATCATCTCAGCCTCCTCATTTTACAGATGAGGAAACAGTACCAAGAGAGGAAAAGTAACCTGCCCAGAGTCATACAAGGTAACAAGTATCAGGAGGATTTGATCCCAGTTCCAATGACTCCACCTCCCGCCACCTTTCCATTGGATCACGTAACTTTCCAAAACAGTGGGCTAGGTAAGATGGGTAAGGAAGGGCAGTAGGTGGCACTATAGTGGATAAAGTGCTCCACCTGGAGTCAGGAAGACTCCATCTTCCTGAGTTCAAATCTGGCCTCAGACATTTAATAGCTATGTTACTCTGGCCAAATCACTTTTAACGAGGTTTGCCTCAGTTTCCTCTTCTCTAAAAATGAGCTAGAGAAGTAAATGGCAACTACCCCAGTGTCTTTGCCAAGAAAACCCCAAATGGGATCATGAAGAATCAGACACAACTGAAATAACTGAACAACAACAACATATGAGGGAACTTATAGCTCATGTCAGTATTTGAATACAGGTCTTGTGAATCCAAGCCCAGGGCCCTTCCTGTCACACTAAACTTCCCCTTTTGCATGGAGGAGAGGGCTTCTCCTTTTGAAAGTGGAAATACCAGTTTCATCCTCTTGTACCTCTTGGGGATGATTCAACAAGGGATTACAACAGACATTTATTATACATCTACTAGTACTACAACCAAAGCCCCGGCTATGTATTGGAGATAAGATAAGACGCCTTCAGGGAGTTTCTGTTCTTCTTGGAGGGGGGGAAGTGAGGATACCATGTGTCCCCAGATGATATCACAGCCAGGCCCTGTGGTTGCTTTGTTCAGCTGGTGGGTCATCTCAGTTCTTGGCTTCTCCTTCCAGCCCCTGCATTGTTGCTCCTCTTCTGGCTATTAGAATTTCCATCAGAGGGTTGGCATGAGACGAGAGAGAAGATTAAATTCACAGCAAGCAGACATTTTGTGCTATATTTTCAGCTCTGCTAAAAAAAGGTTGGAGGACCGAGGCGGGGGGAGAAGGGGAGGAGGAGTTGAAAACTGATAGCCAGGATGAGGCTTTGGGGACAAATCAAGTGAATTTCATTGATCTAGGCCTCCTTATCTGTTGCCCATTGCTGTGGATTATCAGAGTCAAGTATGTCTAAAACATTTTCATTTCCGAGGAAATGCTTGATAAATACAGAATGACATTATTATCATTCTTATGTGCAGGAACAGTATTACTGAATACCAAAAGCTATCAAAGCTTTTGGGTGACATGTCAGAGGTGATATACCAGTGTTTATCCAGGAAGCAAGAGGTGTCATCAATAGGCCAACTGGCAGAGGACTCACAGGTTTGACCTTAGCCCCACAAAGCTGTCCCTCGTGCTCCGGTGATGATCATTTTGGTTTTTCTGATTTTATTTTTGGCCTTTTTTTTTTTTTAACAGAATGAGGATGGACTATTGGAGTTCTTCCAAACTGTGATGAAAGAAACTAGGGCAGAGCCAAAAAAAGTGATTGGTTGGATTCTCAGCACTTTCCTGGGTTATTTAAAGCAGCGGAACCTTGCTGTCAGCGAGAGGTGAGAGCAGCTTTGGAATTTTTTTACCCTTTGCATCGAGAAAGAGCTAGCTTAGAGGTACTACATCCTTTTCTGATCCCTCCTCCATCAATCGAAGTACTGAGAAATACTCTTTTTGAGGGCCAGAATCCAGAAGCATCTATCGGTCTTATCAGCCAGCCCTAGAATGAGTCTGTGAGACAGTAAAAGCTCATGAATTTAGGATTCAGGCTAAACAAACAAACAAAAAATTGGATGAACGGTCAGACCCCTTCTAGTTCTACAATGCTTTAGTTCTGGGAAATTAAGTATCCTCAGCAGTTGACCTCATTAACTTCATTTGTCCCTGTTACCCCATCATAGGATCATTGGATTCAGACCTGGAAGGGACCATAGAGATCCTTTAGTTCAAGCCCCTCATTTTATAAATGAGCAAACTGAAACTACTTCTCCCAAAGTCACATAGTAAATAGGAGAACTGGGATTTGAACTCTACTCCCCTAACTCCAGACAGCTAGGTGGCACAGTGGATAGAGCACTGGACTTGGAATCAGAAAGACTCATCTTCCTAAGTTCAAAACTGGCCTCAGACACTTACTAGCTGTGTGACCTTGGGCAGGTCATTTCACCCTGTTTGCTTCAGTTTCCTCATCTGCAAAATGATATGGAAAACTACTCCAATATGTATGCCAAGAAAACCCCAAAATGAGGTCACAAAGAGTTGGACGCAACTGAACAAAAAACCTCTAACTCCAAATCCAGTGTTCTTTCCACAAACCTCACCCTACTTCAAAACCTAGGAAACCTACAAATTACAAATGTGTATTTATGTATTTTTGAGCAGCTCAGTATCTTAAGAGATGAGTAACCACCGCCAGCCAAAAGTAATCTCTTTGTGCTATGAACTCCTGTAACATTTGTTATATTTATATATTTATAAATTTTCTATGTTTATATTTATACTTACTTGGCACTCAGCTAGTAGTCCAAGGTAGTGTTTATTATCTTTTCACATGCCTATGTCTTTTCTTCTGAAGTAGTTTATAAAAGACAGCGTGGTATGGTGGAAAGAGCTCTGACATTGGAATCAGTACAACCTGAGTTTAAATCCTGCATCAGTTATTGATTATCTCTGTGACCTTAGGGAAGTCATTTAATGTCACTGGGACCTAGTTTCCTCATCTCTAACAGGAGAATGTTTGACTAGATGGCCTCTTAGATCTCTTTCAGCTCTGAATCAATGATCCTGTAATTCTTTTTTTTTTAATGAATTAATTTATTTAATTTGTTTTCAACATTCACTTCTATAAGATTTTGAGTTCTAAATTTTCTCCCCCTCTTTCCCCAAGATGGCATGCGTCTGATATAGGCTCTACATATACATTCATATTATATGTATTTTCACATTAGTCATGTTGTAAAAAAGTACTAGAACCAAGGGGAGAAACCACGAGAAGGGAGAAACCACGAGAAAGAAGAAACCAAAAAAAGAGCAAATAGTAGGCTTCCAATCCTATAATTCTTGAGACAATCAGTCAATCAACAGGTATTTATTAAGTGGCTACTATGTGCTAAGTGTTTGAGATACAAGTACAAAGAATGAAATAATCCCCACTTGCAATGAGCTTACATTCTAATGGGGAGACAATAAATACATACAAAGAATATACATCATAAATATAAAAACAACAAATACAAATATATACAAAGTAATTTGGGGAAAGGACACTAGCTATTGGGGGTTCAGGGAAGGCATCATGCAGAAGATGGTGCTGATCTGCATCTTAAGGGATACATTTATTGGCATCTCTCTAAAATACCAACGACTGTGCTTTGAATGCAGCCCATCTCTCAAAAAAATTTTCTTTGGTTGACCATGTGATCATAGCCTTTTTTTTACCCAATAACTCAAAGCTCATATAGCCAGCTATATTTCCATGCCCATGGAGAACAGTACAGCTAATACAGAGCAGTGTATAATTCTAAATTATTTATATTTTGCATTGAAATGCATTACATGATGTTTTTATAACTTCATCATTAGATTCAGACTAATAATAACATTCAGTTACATTACCTGAGAAAGTGGTAATTGATAACAGGAAAAGGGTAGCCCAGGAATACCTTGTATGTCAAAGAAGTCACCTGGGAGATTAAAAATGTGCCATAACTATCCAGCCAAGTATAGTGTTGTGCAAATTAAGTGGAACAAAAAATCAAATTTATTGACTTATTCAATGAACTTCGAAACTTTTTACATCCTTAAAAAATTAATGTCATATGTTCTCTTTTTACTCTAGTTACTTTTCAGTATACAACATTGAATTCATAATATTTTGACTCAGATTCTTTAATTTTTCATTTTAAATCCATATATCACCTTGGATATTGTGCATACCTTCAATGAATAGTCCATTTTTTCAATTCCAGCCCATAGCTTTTCAGTGTTGTTTAAATGAAGTGAGTTCCCTAGACATTGAATTCTTATTTATCTCCATCTCTTGGGTCAATTTCTTAGTTGTTTGTGACATGGGGCAAGACTGCATTGTAGTATTCCATTTCCAATTGGGAATTAGGGAAGTTATGCCACTAGGTATATTGATGTATCAGAGTTTATCATTTCCTTGATGTGTGCAAGATTTTCAAGCCCATTGGAAGTAAAAAGTCCCCCAAACAATTTTTTGGGTGCATATTTTATAGCCTGATGAAGATGTTCAGATCTTTATGGGCTTACTTGGACCTCTTTTAAAAGATCTTGGATGTGAAAATATGTTTAATAGGAATGTAATTCCTATTTAATTATCAATGCTTCAGTCTTTGGAGCCAATGACAAGTGTTTTTTTTTCTTCCCAGCAACAGTTGGCAACTCTTTTAAACTGTGTTTGGTCTCCTCAATGTTCTTCCCATTTCAACAAGCTTATGCCACATTGTAGAGGGCACACATTTTCCTGTATGCTGTGGTGAGACTGATTCTGTTTCATTGTGGGCTTAACTATCTCTTGAAACATTAGACTTCCCCACACCAAGAGCCACTGCAGTATTGCTAATACTCATTCAGGTCTGTTCTTAAAGGGCTGCATTTGAATAATTTCTTGAAATAATATTGATTCTTAAAAATATAACAAAGGACAGCAATGAAACAACTGAAAGTGATACAAAATGCAGGCTTCCTTTGACAGAGGAGGAAACCTGTTTAACCTTATTTCATTTGGTCAAGATCAGACCTAAGCTATCCTGATGTCAGTAGGAGCACACATGCATGACCATTGCTGTCACAAAATGAAACTATATCAAAATCATTGCTTATCCCAAGTTACTTGCACACTGCTATAGCTAACCCACAGCTGTATCTTATCTCCTTTGAAAGAGACAACATGGAAAAGTGAACAAAGTTCCTGACTTGGAGTCAGGCACACCTAGGTGTGAATTTCACTTCCGACACTCACTAACTAGATGACCATGGCCAAATCACTTAGTCTCTCTCAGCTTCCCTTTCTTTTATCTGTAAAATGCGGATCCCTATTACCACAGAGTTGTTAGAGATAAATCAAGGTCTTGCATATAAAACACTTTCCAAACTTTAAAATGTAATACAAATATCAGTTGTTAATATTTTAATCTCACAATAGCCTTTCAACTGGATTTCCCATTACACAGTATATAGTTCATTTTCTTTTAATGGAATGTGCATACCAGCAAAGCTTATTACAAAGCTAATTTTCATTTAGTGAATCACATTGTTCTATTACCAAATTGGAAACGTGTTCAACTGTTTTTTAAAAAAAAAGTCTTTGTGTGGATATGGTCATCCATTCAATGGATATTTTGTTGTTGTTGCTAGGCATTGTGTGAGGCACCACTGATAAAAACACAAAAATAAAAAATGGTCCTTATCCTCAAGCAGGTTGCATCTATTAATGTGCAAAAATTATAGTTAAGAATATATCAAATTATTAATATTTCATTGTTGTTTGTCCTTCGTTCTCAAAGAGTACCAATGACATGAGGAAGGTAATGTCTTGACTTGCAAGTAGATTGGATTTAAGTGAGGCAGTGCTGTGCCAAGTCACCAGCCTCACTCTCTCCTCCAGAGCCTTCATGTGTATAATGTTATAATTTAATATATCATGTTAATGTTAACATTATGTATGTAAAATGAAAAACAGCAACTTTCTTAATAAGTACCAACAAAAGTATACAAAATGTTGTCATTAGGAAAAAGTACTAAAAGTGAAAATATAATAAGTATAACAGTATGCCTTACCTTTAATAACATTCTCTGGTAGAAGTAGCAATCTCTAAAGCTCCGTAAGCCGCTTAGCTAAAGTTTCATCAGCCTCAAGTCGGAAGGTTTTTATCAATTGTCTGTTGTGTGTAGGTTTCACTGTGCTATGTTCAAAAATAACGACACAGTTTACAACTTAGGAAGATGAGACAAACACAAATGAGACTATGTATAATACAAGAGAATATGTAACTAAATATATTCTGTCTACAAACTAATACAATAGAAGTTTATGAATAAGGGAGATCATTGAGAGCTGAATTGGGTCGTAATCAGGAAAAGCTTTGTAAAAGGAGGGTCTTTAGCTAGATCTTAAAGGATTGTTCAGATTTGCATATGTAGAAGAGAGGAAAAGGCGTAACATAATTTGCAGAGCAGTTTAACATAGGCATAGAGTTGAGAGTGAATCTAAGGGGTGCTTAGGACACGTGACTTAACTGGAGCTATGTGAAGGGGACAGAGGAACAGGGAAGAAATAAGGTGGGATGGATGGGCGTGGCTCAGATCATGGAGGGTCTAAAAAGTGAGGAAGCCTTGAGACTCGCTGCGATAGGCATGTGAGGAAAAGCTATTAAATTTATGTTGTGTGGTTCAGTTTATGTTGTGAGACTAGTTACGGTTCATAGAAAAAGATAATCAGAATTCCAGAGTGAAGATAGCTGTCATAAATCACCTTATCCAGACTTTTCATTTTACGTGTGGGGAAACAAGCCTAAGGAAATGACTTGTCCAGTAT